CTGGCAGCGCGGCTACGTGCTGATCATTCACGGCGTGGGGACGACCGCAGTTGCGCAGCCCGTGGACACGGACTTGAACCAGCACGTGAAGCGCCGGTACATTGCCCTCGAGACCAATGCGCTGGTGCAGCAAATGGCGTTGGGGAAGCACGTGCCGCAGTTGCGGCGTTCCGATTGCGCCGACTTGATGCTGTCAGTGTTGGAGAATGTGCAGTTGCACTTGGACGCCGCGAAAGGTTTCCTGAAAGTGGGAATTCGAGCGCCCTTCGACAAGTCAGGAGATCTCGAGATTTGCCGAGAGGCGGCGGAACTCTGGGAAGCAGGGGGGCTTCGAGCAAAAGTGGACACCGCAGTCGCGGAGGTGAGGGAAGAATGCGAGCAGAAACGTTTGAAATGGTCCTACAATGACGTGCTGCGTCTCATACACGAATACGAGAAACACGACGCCACATATTCCGTGTTGGAGAAGCTCGGCGACGAAGCGCTAGGCCAGGAGCCAGGCCACGAGGAGGGCGATGAGGAGGGCGGGGAGGAGGAGGAGGAGGAGGTGCACGAGGAGCTCGAGGAGGACGAAGAGCAAGAGGAGGCCTCGTGGGCCGAGGCTCTTGCGGAACAGTGCGATGCCGCAGTTGCGGCACCTGGGCCTCAAGGATCCTCGGTATCCTTGGACTGCGTGGTCGACGCAGAGGCGGCCGAGCTGGTGGCAGTGGCGACGTCCTTGGCAGAAACGCTCCGCGAGGCGGAAGATATGCTGCGCCAAGTGGGCATGGAGAAACTAGCGCAGGATTGCCGACAGCAACGACACAAACAAAAGAAGCGGTTGAGAGAGCTGGCGCGGGAGGACAACGAGGTCCTACGAGCGTTGACTGCCAAGCGAGACCACGAAGCCGCAGTGGTGGCGAAAAAGCGGCGCCTGGCTCTGGAAGCGAACGACAGGACGAAGGCGTTGCACGATCTCAAGAAGCAGATTCGAGAGGCCGGGGCCGCCCCCATTTATTTTAATTCTTGTATTTTTGGGCAAAAGAAGGATTGCCGACAAGTTGCGGTGGAATCGATGTGGCTTACTACAAGCACATTGGACATGTTTTTTATCTTCTTCTTTCTTTGGTTTATTTCTGTTTTTTTCATTTTTTTTTTCTTTAGTTTAGTTGATTTTTCTTTTTCTTTTTTTTTTGTAGAGCAGTGGAAATCCCGAGGTTGTTTAAAGATCAAGAAAAGATCAGGTATGGCAGGTCGGATCAGCCTGGCTCGCGGAAAAGGCGTCCTCTCAGACGAGCAGAGGGGGGAGTGGGCATGGTTCAAGACGCATTGGGACGAGGAGATGTGCAAGCAGCACAAGGAGCAATGGCCGCTCACGTTTGCTGGGTGGCTGCAAAAAGTCGCGAACGATGCGGCGTCTGGGAACCGTTCGGCGCTGTCGCAGTTCGTGCATTCGGAAACAGTGAGAACCCTGGGAGGGCAAATGGCGCTGGTAATCCCAGCCCTAGCGCGATGCAGGCCGCAGTTGCGGACCCACAGGAAGTCCAGAGGGAAGTTGTTTTTCCAAGCGGCTCCCGCGCGGGCAGGAGATGAGGCAAAACCGCAGTTGCGGTCTCCCTGCTGCTGTGAAAATAATCCTTTCACAGTCCCTTGCAATCGTCGCCCTCCTTCTGCTTCTCCGCCAGTCCATTTGTTGTTCTTTCGGTTCCTTTGAGTCCTCGCCCTCCTTCTGCCACTCCTCGAATCCTCTTTGTCTCCTCCCTCCATCCGACCCCATGCCCATTCACGATCCATTTTCGTAGCCACCGTGGCTCGAGGTGGCGCACGCGAAGACGCAAGCATGTGGCCGCCCGCGCGCCCGAGCGCATCCTCAGGGAGTATGGACCGTGGACTTCGATTCGCCAGAACGGTGTTCATCCACAACGCTGAGGAGGAGGAGGGAGGCAAAGACGAGGAAGCCGCAGTTGCGGATGATGACGACGACCAGCGGACGCAAGATGGTGACAGCACCGTCGCGTCCTCGGCTGCCTCCGCTGACGAGGCTGAGTCCCGGGGAGGTGCGGGAGCCGCAGTTGCGGCAGCACATGACTCCTACATGCCGAGTGTGTTGTCGTCGCGGAGAACCTGGAAACGGGTGCCCATCATCGAGACAAGCAATCTGTCGGAAAAACAAAGAGCTCTTGTCGACGCATGGGAGGAGAAAACGGAGTTCGAAGAGGGACGGGTCGGCTTCTACGTGGCCAACTTCGGAGGGACTGCAGCTAGACCCACGCAACGCGCGGACGAGTGGGCGCAGCTCCGCGCGAACCCTGCCCAGATCATCGCCCTCTGCGAGTGCGACGACGAGACCTGCGCGGTACTCAGTGGGGAGCACGACGCGAGGGACAGTGCAGCCGCAGTTGCGGACGATAGGTTTCGGAGGCGGACTCAATACAACTACCTGTGCGTTAAGGGCGGCGAGCCATCAGGGACCCTCCTTGTTGGCATGAGGGACCGCAGTGGCGGCCACATTGAACGCGTAGACTTTTCGAGACTCTTCCACAAGCAGGAGAAGTCCAAAACGAAGAAGAAGAAGAAACAGTCCGCAGTTGCGGAGGCTCCTGCGCCAAAGCTGCACAACAAGTACTCCAGGGCGATGGTGGTGCGCGTCCACCTGGACCAGGCCGCGCCCCATTTGGGGGGCTCCTTCAACGTCATGGCGGTGCACGTCCACCACAGCTTGGCCAACCAAGACTGGGGCGTCACGAAGCTCCATGAGTTCTACAACTGGTTCGTCGCCTACGTCAGGGAATGGGACGTGAAGGTCTGCATGGGGGACTTAAACATGTGCATGTTCCAGCTTGTGTCCTGGTGCCGCAATTGCGGCCTGACTGTGGACGTCGCCGCGTGGGCCCCCTGGAAGACAGCAGGCGGCCAGCCCAGGGCAGACAGCATGGCGATTTTGTTCATAAACTGTCCTGGGCAGTACAAGCTTCACCATGGCCTGAGTGTTCTGCACGACCGTGAGGGCGGAATCTTGACGACCCAGCATGATCCGTCTTTCCCTGTCTTCGACTACACGAATGGCCCTGGGAAGATGCTTCAGACTTACGTGCCCAAGGCTGAGCCCGTTGAAAACAAGATGCGAGCCTTCCTGACGCCATCTGGCGAATCCTTGACCGCAGTTGCGGAGTTCGAGCAAAGGATGGCGCGCAGGGAACGCGACGATTGGGTGCGCCATCCCTTCAGAGTGAAGCAGGGCAACCTCGACGACAAGATATGGCATGGCGCCTGCGGCAGGGCGAGGCACGGAGCGCACTTCCCTCTGGTGGCTTTCACGCACAATACGTGCCGCAGGTCACCTGAAAGACTCGCCGCGAGGTTGGAACGCAGGAAGGGCGGCAGGAAGGGCGGCAAGAAGGGCGGCAAGAAGGGCAGCTACGCGGACACCGCAGTTGCGGGGAAGGGCGTCCGACCCCAGATGGGAACCGCAGTTGCGGGGAGAGACGCTGGGGCTGAGCGAGCTGGGACCACGCCACCGCCGCAAGCTGCCAACGGCGACGATGCGACCCCTTCTTGTGCCGCAGTGGCGGCTGGGTCCTGGGACGCCAGCGGCAGCGGCGCATGGGAGGCGCGCAGTCCCGCCACGAGATGGCAGGGCTGGTCCTGGTGTGACTGGAGCTCGAGCGAATGGGGCGCTGATGGCGCGCAGTGGTGGCCCTCTGATCATGCCGCAGTTGCGGACAATGCCCCTGAGGGCTCGCCTCCTCAGCGTGAAGTCGAGTGGGGCTCGAGCGGGCGACCTGCCGAGCGCTCTCCGTGGAGCTTCTAGGGGCAGCGTTGGTGATGGCCGCAGTTGCGGGCAAGTGGAGCATGATGTTGATTGCCGCAGTTGCGGACAGTGTACGCTGGAAAAATCATCATCATCATCAATCATAATCATCATCATATCATCATATCATACGTTCAACGCAGTGCCGGGGCACTGCTTTGAACGCGTTCAAAGCAGTGCCGGGGCACTGCTTTCGATCGTCGCCTCGTCGCCGTTATAAGGGCTTTCGGATTAGGGACGGGCGGGTGCGTTGCAGCATTGTTGATGCATCCTGTATTCATTCTGGTCCTCCGCCTCCTCTTCCTCCCCTTCATTATCCTCGCTCTCATTTCCACTCCTCCCATCCTCCTTCCTCCACCATTATCTTCCTCCTCCTCCTCACTCTTCATCATCGTTATCATCATCAGCAGCAGCAGCATCATTCTCATTACCATCATCATCATCATCATCATCATCATCATCATCATCATCATCATCATCATCACATGTAACCATTTTGACTCATGGCCTATATAGGTATCCAGTAATTGCCTAAGCGGGTACGCTCCCATCCATAATCCCAGAGTCACGCGCTCATGCGTTTGCAGCACCAACCAGGGGTGAGCTGCCACCCGTTTCGAAGCCTCGCCATCCATATTTTTGCTGTCTCAGTTTTCAATATCAACTGCGCTGCACTTCGGACGGAGACAGCGAGACTCATTGAGTCCTCGCGGCGACTCCAGTGGTCTACCGGATGGCTTCAGACCGCGGCTCAGGTTCCAGCACATCCAATTCCAGTGCTCCCAAGCAGCGTCGCTCGCACCATCGTCGGCGCGCGGCACACAGTGGATCGCGCAGTGATCGAGGGGTCTCCGCCGCACCGGCAGCCAGCAGAGAGCACCGACGTGATCGACAGGGCAGTGCAACGAAGGAGCCACCAGCTCGGCGTCGAGATCAAGCAGGGCGAGATAAGGGCCCACGTCGGCCTGGCAGCTCGGGAGGATGCGCGGTTCGGTTACAACAACAAGAGCAGCAGCGACAAGCAGCAAAAGTATGCCAGCTCATGGAGGGAGTTGATGACCTTCCCACTTTCCCAGGTGCAGAGAGGCCTCGAGCGGATCCGCTGCGCGAGCGTGATCCATGGGCAAATCCGAGTGCTACCCCAGTGGATGGGCCTCCCACGCCAAATACTCAACAATGTGCTGGCGGACATGGCCCTGGGGCGGGCCAGGCGCTGGAAGCCAGGCTCACATCCATGTTCTCCGAGCAGATGCAGCTGGCCGCATCGAGACTCCAGGCCGAGACCACCTCTATCCTGCAGTCGGCCACGTCCACTCTTTACATCGAATTTCAAGCTGTTCTCGGTCAAGTTCGCCAGCAGGACATGCGGCTGGACACGTTGGAATACACTGTCAGGAACGTCAATCAGAGGGCCCACGCCGTCGAGCAAGAGCAGCAGCAGCTGCGCGCCGATGTCGAGCGCATCCAGGCCAGCTTGGGTATGGCAGAAGCGACGCTCCCACCGCTCGACGTGGCAGCGCTGGCGGTTTGGGGTCGCCCGCCAGACCCTCGCCTCTATTGTTATCGGAGCAGCCACGGCAGTTCAACCATCCGAAGTCCGCAGGGCACTCGAGCCATGGACCAATGCAGCTGGAGTGGCCATTTCGGACGCGGAGCTGGTCGGCGACGCCCCATCCAGACGATTCTACCAACGGGTTATGGGCGGCGCAGCGGCTTCCTCTCGCAGCGTCTCTCTTGCGTGGAACCTTCGACAGGGAGGGTCTCTTGCGTGGAACCTTCGACAGGGAGGGGGGGGGGGGCATTTCTCCTGCAACAACGCCAATGGCGCCGTCACTCCGCTCTATATCAACGCAGACAAGAGCCCCAAGACGCTGCGGCGCGAAATCCAGACAAAGAAATTCGCTCAGATACTCGGAGAGCGGCATGAGGGACACTTCTTCAGGAAGGTGGGCCACGACGGGATCGTCTCGTGCAGCTCCATCCCCATCGACAGTGTGGAGGTCGGGAACAACGCCTCTGCTGCCACCCAGCTCAGATGGGACAGCTCCGCCATCGTCAGGTTTGGGATTGGCAAACAAAGCATCAACGACACGTTCCAGCGCATATGTCGCGCCACCGACACATCGCCGTGGTCTTTTTAATGGTAGATGGCGCCATTCGCATACCAACCAGAGCAGTGCAGAGTCAAGCTCGGCGCAATTGGCGTCGCCAGCACGTCGCCCTCATGTTCAATGTCTTGCCGTAGTTCCTGGGCGGCAGAGTCTTGCGTTCGCGCGTGTGCAGCGCCAGCCAGGGGTGAGCTGCCGCGCGTTGCGAAGCTTCGCCGCCCATATTCTAGCAGTCTCAGCTTCCCACGTCAATTGCGCTGCGCTCCGGACAGAGACAGCGCGACACATCGAGTCCTCGCGACGACGCCAGTGGTCTACCGCATGGCTTCAGACCGCGGTTCAGGTTCCAGATCGTCCAAGTCCCGCGCTTCCAAGCAGCCTCGTTCGCATCGTCGTCGGCGCGCGGCGCGCGGTGGACAACGCAATCATCGAGGGGTCTCCACCGCACCTGCAGCCAGCAGAGGGCATCGACGCGATCGACAAGGCCGTGCTACGAAGGACCCACCAGCTCGGCACCGATATCAAGCAGGGCGCGATGAGGGTTCACGACTTCCAGGCAGCTCGGGAGGATGCGCGGTTCGGCTTCAGCAACAACAGCAGAAGCGACACGCAGCAGCTGTATGTCAGCTCATGGAGGGAGTTGACGACCTTCCCACATTCCCAAATGCAGAGAGGTCTCGAGCTGATCCGTTTCGCGAGCGTGTTCCATGAGCAAATCCGAGCGCTGCCCCAGTGGATGCCACCCCCCCCCCCCCCCCCCCCCCACCCCCCACCACCCCACCCCCCACCCACCCCGCCCCACCACACCTAATACTCAACAGCTTGCTGGCGGACATGGCCCTGCGGGGGGCCAGGCGCTAGAAGCCAGGCTCGCAACCATATTCGCCGAGCAGATGCAGCTGGCCACGTTGAGTCGACTCCGCTGATGGCCACTACTCTGTGATAGACGCGAATGTACACAACTACGAGTTCGCTCCCGATGTCAAACAAACGGTTGCCCATACTTGGAGGGATGCGGTTGAATGGAACCATGGCGACCCCCATCATCGCATGCTCATTGCCATGGGGGGCTTCAACGCTCGCGATGGGGAACTGCTCGGTTTCGTCGAGCCAATCCCATTGCAAACGCCAATACTGACGGTGCCGACATTCCAGCCGAATGAGATAGTTTGGCGCGATTTCGTTGACCTGGCCCAGGAGGAGCGGGCCGACATCCCAACCCACGCCAATCGCCATCAATATTCCGCCTCCGCCATAGACAGGGCCTTTCTTCGTATCCCAGTGCGCTTCCTCCTCGATACGGTTGTCTTCCAGAATGTGGACCATGTCCAGCTCGAGGGCTCCCAGGAAGCTCGCCGAGCGCGCCATGCTGCTGCTCAATCAGAACATCGAGGCACCAGAAGACGTCGCGGACCATCGCATCCCTGCTGTGGTGTTCAGCGACGTAAGGTATAACGGTCCCCTGGACATGCGAATGGTTGGTGCGGACCTGGGTCGTTTTCCCCCAGCTATCAGATGGCAGCGATTGAAAGACCGGTTGACTGTAGCGGCCAAACAAACCCGAGGTGACTTGCGGCGACTTCCATGTTGTGCTAATGACAAGCGTGCCCGGTGGGGACGTAACATCACATCAAGCAGCATTTCCCATGTTGTCTGGGGGCAAGATACGAAGATAGCAGCTCTCATCATTGCCAATGCAGTCGTGGGTGCCAAGCATCTCCGCCTTCAAGATGAACAAGTTCAGCGTCGGGAGCCCGATTCTGTCCGCCGTCAATTTCGTTTGCTACACGCTGCAGAGCTTCAGGCCGACCGCGCGTTTGCTGCACAAGCAACCCAACGTGCTCTACGAGGAAGGCAACAGCATGCATGGACGGTCTCGGAGGACCAGATGCTCCAGAGGCGCCCCATGGCGGGGCGCCATGCTCCAGTGACCCTGGATTGCCCCAGTCTCGCCTTCCTGCCAAAAGGGAGGCAGACCAGTGATGCCTGTGAGCGCCTGCGGTGTCCAGACCAAACTCGTTCCTTTTGGATGCGCAGCACGGACTCTAAGGTCCTAGCCTAGGCGGCCAATCAGTGGCTCAAAGGACTGGTCTGTGCGCGCACTCACCAAACTCAGTTAGGATTTGTGTTGGGCAGGAATTGTTTACATAATTTGCTCCAGCTAGACAGTTAGACGCAGCTGCCCGCTTGGCTAGCGCCGGCGAGACAGCTGCAACGCAGGCGCCTGCGTTTGTTGCGCTCGATATTGCTGGTGTGTTTCCATCTCTTGACAGCGAGTGGCAGTTGGGGGTGCTCTCTCGCATTGGTGTGCCGCCTGAACATCTGCATGTGCTTGCCCCAATGCATGTTGAACCTCGCAGCTTTGATCTGCTGCAGGGCGAATTGCTATTTGCGCCCCATTTGCGTTCTGGCATGACGCAAGACTGCCCGCGTTCAGGCCCGGCGCGGGCCATCGCGATGGACCCGATTTCTAATTCAACTGGTGGCGGAGGTGTCGTCGTCGTCTCCACGGGGGGTGGTCGGTGGAAGTGCGGATGCTTCGAGGCTTGAGCAGCCATGTCTGTCTGCTTTAGCACGTGTTTTTCCTGGCTTCAGAAGCACCAGGAGGCTAGCGAAATGGCGGCCCTTACCCAGTGAGACAGTAGTTGTTTCTCTGTGGTCGGAGTCTAGTGTAAGCCCGCTCCTGCGCAGCAGCACTGCCCTCTCGGCACTCGGCTACCGCTTTCATTGCCAACCGTAGTTCTGCACAAAGAAAAGTTAGCACTGCACGGAGTCCTTCGTTTGCCATCGAGCACGCTTATCTTTGCTGATTGGTTCTCATTCAAAGCAGACGGTTTAGTGGCATACGCATCAAAGCTAGTCATGAATACAGCAAGTTTGTGGAGATGCGGCTTTGATATTCTGCGAAGCTGGGAAGCGCAGTTGCACGAACGGTCTGAAGCGGCGATCTTCCAAGTATCACTGGCGCGCCGGACGCGTGCGCAATGGAATGCGCCATGCTGGAAGACAGAGCATGGTTTCTTGCAGCGGTTTGATGCACGTTCCGAAGTGCCACCCTTTTCATCCATTCCTGTTGTACTCTGGCGTTCGGCGCTCGCGGCCGCCCGCCACGAACAGGCTTGTGCAGCAGGAGAAGACCGCAGGAGGAAGGTCCAGCGTTCCCATCTGCGCGTCTCATTTTTTCCACCTGGATGTGCGAATGCCATCGCTAAGGGTTTGTCTGCGTGGGGCATTTCTGCCTCGATTAATGGGGCGGTGGGCGAGCGGTGGGGGGAATGCCTTGCGGTGCCCCGCACGATTGAACTTGCGCGGCTGTGGAGCCTGCGCACGGCCCTCGCAGGAGGGTGGACAACATCACAGTGCATGCATGGCGCTGGAGGGGCATCGCGTATTCTTGGCTGCAGAGAGCAGCTCGACTCATTACCACACTATCCATTCTGCCCTGTACTCCTGGCCTTGCCTCAGTAACCTAATTTACTCTCGGCCTTGGCGCCGACAACGAATACAACTGTGCATCGTGCGCACTATCCCACAGCGCCGCCATGCAACTGGGTGCGCCCGCTTTTTACACCCATCATAAGCTCAATGTTACGCTGGTTCACGGTATGTTTGCGAACCCTGCTGAACAAATCGCCGATGTAGCCGCTGCCGTGCACGCCACTGACAACTAAGCGTGCGACCAAACTGTTGCCCCCCAGGTCTGGTCGATCATCGTCATCATCATCATCACCATTATCATCATCATCATTATCATCATCATCATCATCATCATCATGATCATCAACATCATCATTATCAGAATCATGATCCCCACCATACTCATCATTACCATCACCAGTCATCATCATCAGCATCATCATCCTCATCATTACCATCATCATCATCGTCATATTATTCCTCCTCCTCCTCCTCCTCCTCCTCCTCCTCCTCCTCCTCCTCCTCCCCATCCCATGCCGCAGATCTCTTGGCCGATGCGCCCCCGCGCCCCCGCGAGGCGTTCGAGGGGCAGCGGGGCGTGCTGGAGGCTCGCCCCGCCTGCCGACCCCCCCCGCCCTCCGCGCCCGCGGCGTCCCGCCGGCGCCCGTTACGCCCTGGCGGTGTGGAACCAGGGTTCCGAGAGCAGGAGAAGGAGGAACAGGAGGAGGAGGAGGGAGAGGAGGAGGAGGAGGAGGAGGAGGAGGAGGAGGACGAGGACGAGGACGAGGACGAGGACGAGGACGAGGCGAGGACGAGGACGAGGACGAGGACGAGAGGAAGCAGGAGGGGAGGAGGAGGAGGAGGAGTAGGAGGGGAAGAGGAAGGAGAGGAAGGGAGGAGGAGGAGGGGGAGGAGGAGGAGGAAGAGGAGGAGGATGAGAGGA